CACGAGTGCTATCCCGCTGGATCGAGCACGGTCTGCGCGACCTACCAACAGCAATCCACCCACTAGATCCCAAGACCCCGATAGACAAAACCACCGGGCCCCCAGTAACACTCCGAACCCCACTGCACCAAGAAGTGTTCACCTTCTCGCGGCCGAACTACACAAACATCCCGAACAGCACCAAGCCCGTCAACCGCGTAACACACCCAGATCTAGATGCAACCCACGAACACAGTTACCCCTTCTACCGCCCAGAGCCAGCTCGCATCTTTTCCCAGCTCCCATTTCTGCGCCCTAGCGTGCTGTATATATTCGCTGGAAAGTCGGATATGTGTATCCCCTCCATGCGCGCTGATAAGCTCGCTAACACTGGCACTGCGGTGGGAGGCAGTGGCGGCGTTGCTGCGGGCCGTGTGCGTGATGTCTTCCTCGAGGACTTTGGTCATCTCCTTGCTCAAGAGGCTGTGAATGAATGTGCTGATGCGGCGGTTTCTTGGCTTGTGCCGGAGATCCATCGCTGGCGTGCCGAGGAGGAGAGTTTCCGTGCGGCTTGGGGTCAGAAGTCTAAGATTGAGAAGGTTACTGTTGATGCGGAGTGGTTGAAGAATGTTCCTGCGCCGGCGCGAAGTCCAAATAAGCCGGCGCAGAATGGGGAGTCGAAGTTGTAAGCGGTAGTTCGTATAACTGTCTGGTTTTAGACTTGCTTTTTTCCCCCGGGAGCGTTGGGTATAAACCAAACATAGCCTGATTTTCGAGTTATTATAGCACGTGTGAATATAGAATGTTCAATTCTGCACCGTCTGGATGTTTTTCTATTGCTTTCAGACCCTATGAATAAGTACGCCGAATCAACGATCATAATAGTTCGCAAGCCTGACTCCCATCTATAGCAACGACCCCGCGCGCCCCCAGGCAAAAAGAAAGAGAAAAAAAAAGCTATGGTATATCTATGGTTCAAAGCCAAAAGATCCGTCTCCGGGACGGATTGTGTTCGTGGAAGCTATGCAAAAGCAACACAAGAGGGAATAAAAAACAGTGATCTGCTCCGAGTCTTGCGGCAAAAGACAGACAGGAAGGAGCGTGGTGTCTATTTCATGTTATGTTGGGTGCCACATTTGCAAGAGGGTGGTATATCGCCACCCACAAACAACGATAGGTGCGAGTAATGAACCAACTGGGAGAGAGAGAATGTCTAGACGGCTGTTTTACGTTGACTTCTTGGCTCGGGATACCCCGTTCTCGGATGGTCCACCCGAGGTGCGGATCACTTCGGGGATATGCCAGAAGTGCGCCCAGCGTAGGTGGTATTCCTCTTGTCGGTTGTTGAGGCAATGGCGGAGCCAGATTCCCCATGTGATATAGAGATAGGCACCGATGCCAGTCATGATATGCCTACAAGTAAGAATTAGCAAACAGTCCAAGAGTAATCCATAAGGTTAGACACATACCACCAGCCATGCCCTTCCAAAAAGAGACCCCATGGAAGACCAACAGAGTGGCGTGCCCGACGGATCTCAGAGCAGAACACGTTGTCCAAGCCCCAGATGGAGAAACCTCCCAAAAACATGCTCAGTCCATATATCACCATGAACCACATGGTCTTGAGGGTCTTCTCGTCGCGCACGTTCTCGTAGTGTTGGCGCTCCTTCGTCGGAACGGGGAGTCCCTTCTTCTGGCGCGCTAGGCGATCCTCCTCCGTCGAGTGGCGCCATTTGGGTCGGAGTGTCACTTCCATAGTGTGCATGCTGCGTAGGACAACGACGGTAGTCAGGAGTGCATAGGCGTTCTGGTGGAAGACTGGGTCCTGGAGGTAGTGGTAGTACAGGGTGATGAATACAGCAAGACCTGTGAGCGAAAGTCCGAGGCAGACTCGCACGGTGGTGGACCGGGAGTACGAGAATGAGGCGTAGGCCATAAGGCAAGTGGTATAGATCATCGATAGTTCATCCACTAGTTGCATGGGGTCTGTTGTGGGGGTTCACCGGTCAGCATTGTTCTTGCAATCACTCGTATATTGTTCCAGGCATTGTTGGTGAATGTCCGCCGCGGTTACATTTTGGGCTTGGGAGGGGGTATAGGGACACTTGCATTTGAGGGTCGAGTGAAACAGGAAGCTTCCTGTTCCGACTACCAGGTAGCCAATCAGGGCGACTATAAAGATTTGGTCATGTCCATTGCGACGGCAGCTCCGTATGCCCTGAACTCCAAGCCACATGAACATTAAATTTGTGAGTGTGTTGACAATCTCCGCAGAATACTCGGTAGCATAATAGTCCTGGACAAGGTGATATATTAGCGGGGTTCTTGCTCCTGTACGCTGCCCTCCTCTGCGGGGATACACACCTCTTCGCACCAGTTCAAGGTGGAGGTAACAGGCTCCCAGTATCCGTCCTTTGCGGGCGGATACGGAAAGAAGGGTAAAGACCAAGGCATTCTGCTGTACACCAAGGTAAAGAGAGGATGTTAACTCTGTAAGCTCTGTAAGCTCTATAAGGGTGTCTCTAAATTCCAAGAGAAAAGGAAAACAGAAACAAAAACCACATGACGTCGATTACCCACGGGGCTGGTTGGTCCGTGCACTCCGCGAGGTGCCGGATGCAGTTTGTTTCTTTTCTTCTGGGCTGTTTATTGACATATTGACATATTTTATGTTTCTATTTAGATATCTACTTCTATTTATACTCTAGATTTATGCGCCTGTTTGCATTTGACATATAAAACTAGGTGCGTATGCTTTGACTGTAAATGATCTACATCGTACAGAGTATACGGAGTACAAAGTACACAGTCTCAAGGTCAAAGAGCCGCGTGAAGGATGGTATGGTGGTCATACGATAGATACACTATGTAGTTGAATTTGGAATACTATTAGCTATTAATTGGATTTTAATAGTAAACTTCTATTCTTCTACTCTGTATATCTTGTATCTTGTACAATGCTATAAAATCAACATGCAAAATCCCAAGCGGTGTGGCTTATCGATAGCCATGGCTGGTGATGACTTCACTGATTTTCAACGTCTTTTCTTGGCCTCGGCAGAGTCAGCACTTGCAATTGCTCTCTATCTTGTTCAATTATATTTACCCTCATTTACTCCCTGGTGGAATGCAAGCCGGCGCCCGTATTTGGCTGTGACCGTCTCCGTGGACTTTTCTCTGTTTTTTTTACGCATCCGGTGAATTTTGACGCCTTCTTGACCGTTACGCATACGCGACGCCCATGGACTTCGATCTGGCATTGAATCTGAATCGTTTACCTTCAAACTAAATATATGCACTGTCGCCGAAGTCACGCTCCGAGTTGATCCAGCAATGTCGAACAATAGCACATTAACGGTGCCGCAGGTGAAAACGAGCACCTCAACAAGTATGCTTTCTGTCCAAGCCCCAATCATTTTCACTTCATTGCTAATCATGATCTTCTCATTGCTCCAGCCTCAAAAACACCCTTCCACTTTGCTGCTGGCCTTTGCTCTGGTCTTACCTCCTCCATTCTTCTCCAACCCGCGGACCTCCTCAAAACTCGAGTCCAACAATCCCAGGGAGCATCCCTCCTTCCAACTTTGAAGGCGATCATATCCTCTCCGAACCCAATTCGGGGATTATGGCGTGGTACACTCCCTTCAGCCCTCCGAACCGGCTTCGGGTCGGCACTATACTTCACCAGTCTCAACGCATTGCGCCAAGCCGTTGCGCAATCCAACCCAATGGCCCTAGCCAACCCAGTAATAGGCGCTAGATCATCCTCCGTCCTCCCCAAACTCTCCAACACAGCCAATCTTGCCACGGGAGCTGTCGCAAGAGTCGCCGCAGGCTTCGTAATGATGCCCGTGACCGTGATCAAGGTCCGGTATGAGTCAGACTTCTACGCATATCGCAGCTTAGTAGGCGCAGGCCGGGATATCGTCCGCACCGAAGGGCTGCGTGGGCTCTTTGCAGGATTTGGCGCTACTGCCGCTCGTGATGCCCCCTATGCCGGTCTCTATGTTCTCTTCTACGAACAATTGAAGCGACGGTTCGCGTTGATGGCCGCAGAGCCCTCTAATAATGGCGAAACATCAACTGCTGTTTCATCCTCGTCAATACACTTCGTCTCCGGTGGAGCGGCCGCCGGAATGGCGACTGCAATCACCAATCCTTTTGATGCCGTCAAGACCCGGTTGCAGCTGATGCCTGCCAAATACGGGAACATGGTGCATGCAACGCGCTTGATGATCCACGAGGATGGCATGCGCAGTCTCTTCGGTGGACTTGGTATCCGCATGGCTCGCAAGGCCATTAGCTCCGCGCTGGCATGGACTGTCTATGAGGAGCTTATCCTGCGCGCTGAGAGGCGGTGGGAGACTAATTCCCAGATTGGCCTCTAGGCTTGCATTCTACCTGCCCTTGGCTATCACTCTCCCTCACATCATACTCATTCCACTTTCTGTATTATAGTTCGTTCCACCCCCGCTCTAGCTCGCATCTGGGTCCGTGCCCATACGTGCATACCTGCATTGAGATTAACTCAATGGGAGGTTTTTACACAGGGCTGAGGCCTGACATGTATATTGTATTGCATCTGCACATATCGCCTATCATATAATCCCTGGCCTCAACCATTCCACTTACACTAGGAATATCCCCCAATCTAGCTTTATCAAACACTTCTGCCCGCGAATGTTCGCCAGACCCGTAAATTAGACAGGAGATGGTGGACTGGATACATAGGGCAGGGTGTGTTAAGATGAGAGATAATTGGAAACAGAATAAAATAAACATTGAAGTCATCAACTCATATCGCGTTACTGTAATATCACATACTCTGTGATATAAAAAAAAGAACGAAAGAAACAAATCACAACACAACACAACATAACACAATTTCAACAAGAAATAGTCCAGTTAAACTGGATCTCAGAAAACAATGCAATAACAACGTTCAAATAGAAGATATACGTGAATCCAAATATCTTGTCCAAGCATCAATCATAATCAAGGCAGCGTAGAATAGAAGACATTCATCTGAAGATGCGCGTCCGGCCTGAAGGGCTCTTCTTCCGAATTAGGAACATTTTGTCCTTTTTGCGGTCGTTGACTCTCAATTCGGTCGTCGAGCTGGATGTCTGAGCAATGACCTTGTTCTCGCGTAGACGTCGAGTGTGGGCGAAGAGCTGTTCTTGGAAGTCGTCGTCTATCCACTTTTTGATGATGATGTAGTTGGGGTCGTGCTATGAACATGTTAGTCTTCATTGTGTACAAACAAGGCATGATTCGCATGATTCTTACCTCATCCCAGTCCCAAGGCAGACCATAAGCGATCAAGGTCTCTGGTAGCAAGTGCTTGTGATGGACCTGGCATGGTGTCAGTTCAAAGCCCTAGAGTATATAGAGAGGATAATGTGACTCCATACCTTAATCCACGTGAGCTTAGGCTCTTTTTCTTCCTTCTCTTCTTTCTTCTTCTCCTCCTTCTTCTCCTCCTTCTTCTTCTCTTCCTTTTTCTCTTCCTTCTTCTCTTCTTTCTTCTTGTCCTTATTGATGATAGCATCAATCTCCGCATCAGTATAGCCAATGCTGCGAAGGCGATCGCGGAACTCGGTTGCCTTCCGTATCGCCTCCTCTGCCTGTCTCTGCTTGATCCGCTCCTGCTCAACCTTCCACTCTTCAACCGCAGCAGCCTTCATAGCGAGCTCCTTCTTCCTCTGCTCCTCGGCCTCCCTCGCCTTGCGCATATCCTCATCTCGAATCGCCTGGACGAGCTTTTCATGCTCCTCCTCTTCTTCCTTCTGCCGGGCAAGCTCTTTCCACTTCTCCTCTCGCACAAGCTTCGCCCTCTCCTCTTCCTCCTCCTTCATCCTTGCAAGCTCCTTCCACTTTTCCTCCCGCACGAGCCTCTCCCTCTGCCCCTTCTCTTCCTGCGTGCGCGCCATTTCCTTCAGCTTCTCCTCCTGTAATTTTTGTCTAACCTCGTCTTCCTCGGCAGCGGCCCTCTTCTCCGCCGCAAGCCTCTTAAGCTGATAGCGCTCCTCAGCCTTGCGCTCTTCCTCCGCAGACTGATGCTTGCGCTCGAGCCGCTGCAGCTTATGCAGCCGCTCTGCAATATCGTCCTCGTACTCTAGCTCCTCCCTGAGCAGCCGAGATTCATGCGGATTGGGTTGCGGATTCACAACAATTTTCTCGCGCTCTTTGTTGCTGCGCACTTGAGATTTCTCCAGCTCCCGCTGCAGCCGTTCGATCTCCTGCTGATGCTTCCAGATATCCATGTCCTGCCGGAGATCATTGCGCTCCAGCAAGTGCTGACCCAAGTCCTGTCGGATGTCGTTGCGCTCCAGCATGTGCTGACCCATGTCCTGTCGAATGTCGTTGCGTTCTAGCATGTGCTCCCTCATTGCTAGCTCGTGGTCACGTTGGAAGGGGGAGGCAGAGGCATTGCGCTCAACGGTGCTGACGGCGCGCTCACGGCGGCGCGGGGCGGCCGGCACCTGGACGATTTCGTCATCTTCATCATCGAAGCGGTTGTGCCGGTGGTTATGGTTGTGTTTTTCGCTGCGTTTTTCGCTGAACTGATGGTGCACCCGTCGAGATTGGGGCTTGTTCTCCGAGCGACTCTCTGACTGCAGCCCTTGCTCGTTGAAGATCATCACCGCTGGTGGTGGGGCTGGTGCCGTTGGTAGCTCGCGTACATGGCGGCGACTACCACCTGTCGAGGCCGACCGGTGCATGCGGGTGGACTGGATTGGTGCTAGGAACTCGCGAGAGACGATTTCCGGGCGGCGGCGGTGGTGAGAGAGAGAGCGCTCGCGAACATGGGTTCTGACACCTGTTCGCCGGGTGGAGATATCGGTCTCGAACTCCGAGTCATGCGAGGAGTAGTCATCGCTGTCATACATTGCTCGTGCAGGCATTTTGGCGGGGTTATGAAAAGTATGGGGGGTACTTGATAATATAGATTGGGGGCCCTGATAGAGGGGCCTGAGCGGGGGGGG